GGAAAACATTACATAAGGAAACGAAAACATGTCTTCAGTGATATTGAAACCTTGTAATAACAGCGCCACTGGATCTCCAGAGTTCATTTGTATTTATATTTAAATGTTGTGTAATTAAATTTATAGCAATTATAAGCAAATGTCGATCACGGTAGCCGAGCAGTCTAAGGCATGTATTGTCTTCGCTCGCTCGGAAGCCGAGATCGTGGGTTCGAATCCCATTCAGGGCATGGATGTTTAGTGCTTGTGTGTATGTGCGTTTATCTGTGTTTGTGTACAGGTAGAGGCCTTGTGAGGAGCTGATCACCCGCCCAAATAGTCCTACCGAATGTCTAAGATCTAGTAAACCGAACTGAAACGGAGGGTTACATGGAGGTAGGCCAAGGCCCAAATTCGGGCTGTAGCGCGAAAGGAAAATTATATGCAAAAGAAGAACAGTAGTGAGATGTGCTGTAATTGAGCCGGGAGTTTCAGATGCAATTTATAAAGCCTACCCTCACATTGCAGATTTCCTGCGATGCGGATATCTTCCTGGTAATATATTAATTAGCCATTGAAATCTTATACTCGATCAGTAAAATGCAGTTGACCTCACAGACTAGCGTGTGGGTCTTGTGTCATGCGACAGAATCTTCGTTGAGTAAAATTTATTGCATTATATTATTATTATCATCATCATCTATTTGGAAGAACTTATTAGGTTCCAATTTGTTTGGACGATATATTGGTTGGGAATATCCTCTAAATACTCACCATTTCCATATTTATTGATTTATGAACGGTACGTTATGCAAAATTTGTAGATAGGCTTATAACTTATCACCATGTGAGGTTTCACGTGCCTTGCGCTAATGATTCGTTAGTTTTATTCATCAAATCGAACGCTAAATTCTATAGAGCCCCCAATTTATTGTTTTATATACTAAAATATTACCCTATCAAACACCTCTACCATCACTCACTCATGGAGCTGAGCCCTTCTTGAGAAACTGTCAATTGTGCAGCTGCTCAAGAACTTCACAGCATTTTCTGGAACCTGAATGTTCGTGACCGTGTTTACAAGAGCCCCCCACCAGTCCCCATCCTAAGCCAGATCAATCCAATCCATACCATCCCATCCTGTATCTCTAAGACCCATTTTAATATTGTTCACCCACTTACGTCTGTAACTTCCTAGTGGTTTTTTTCCTTCTGGCTCTCCTAACATTATCCTACACGCATTCTTCTTCTCCCCCATTCGTGCTATATGCCCTGCCCATCTCATCCTCCTTGACTTGCTTATTCTGATTATACTTGGAGAAGAATACAAGTTATGAAGCTTCTCATTATGCAGTTTTCTCCAACTTCCTGTCACTTCACCTCTCTTCGGTCCAAATATTCTCCTCAACACCCTGTTCTTAAACACCCTCAGCCTATGTTTCTCCCTTAATATCAGAGACCAAGTTTCACACCCCTGCCATGTTGTTATTAAAGACTATAGAAAAATAAAAAATAGGAGCTTGTGATGTAAGATGGCATAACGTTCGTACAAAATTTTGTCAAAATCGATCTCCCGGTTCGAAAGTTGGATTAATGGGATACACAAACCTTCGGAGGCACACATGCAGACAAGGTACATACGTGCACAGATCTCATAATCTCGTAAGCCTACTTTATATTTCCTTACAGCAGTAAAGCAGGTTGAAAAGAATTCTTAATATTCTTGACAAGACTGAACCTTAATGACGTGTGTCATGTAGCCAGTTTCGTGACTCCTGAACAAACGCTGTACCAGCGGCATTTGTAGCGTGAAATTGCGAACTTTGGTTCAGTTTCTGTCTCATCCTCCACAGAACTGAAAACAACGGTCCGTTGTTCGATGCAGACGAATTGTTTTCCGTTACCGTTCTGCTAAAATTTCGTTTCATTTCGCCTGACTTCTGTATAATAGGAGAATGCTATTCACTGCTCTTCATCTGATGTAAAGGCATTCTAGTATCATATGAATGTGAAGGTAACTGCACTCAGGAAAGAAATGAACTTGTATTCAGGAATTTGGTATAATTGTCTGATAATGTAGGATATTGCTGTTAAAGAGCCAAAAATAACTATCGCAGTGTTACTAAAAATCCGCGTCATTGGATCACGTCTTCAACAAGGAAGCTGTACTTAACGTTCTCACAGTATATTTAACAGAAATTCATTTAAATATTATCCTTGTCAGTTGCTTCTAGATAATATAATTTGTATTAGGTTTGAAACTGAATTTTTCATATTGTAACGTGGTAGGTTATAACAAAGTGTAAGTGGTTAGTAACCGTCTCTCTAAATAATCATCATCATCAGTAATCTGTCAGTAGACAGATTACTGATTAACCAAATTTTAACGAACGTTTATGACATAAGCACCGAAGAAATTAAGATACATTTGGTGATATCGTCCCTTTGGAAGNGTGGGGCTGGAAAGTTTAGATTAATTGAAAAATCAAATGACCTCATAGGGAATCGAACCCGCCACCTTCCGGCTTGTAGCATAGTGCCTCAACCAACTACGTTACCGCTTGCCACTCTACAGTTGTATAACTCTGGAAACCAATTTATTGGTTCTTTAGAGTATAAAAATTGTTTTATTGCAATGGCTGGATTTTCTAACATCAAGTTTAAAAGGATTAAAGGATTCTAATACCGACGTTCCTCCGAAACGTCGGTTAACACCACATATACACGGTGCCAAATCCCAGAAGACTGCTTTCTTCATAGTCACCGCCGTGAAAGCCTCAAATCTTACAATTTTTTTATTTAAAAAATTGAAACAATTCGAAATTTAAAACAATGAACATTAAAAAAAAGATCTCGGATGTAATTTCCTGCAGTTAAGATATAAAATCACGATTCGCCCAGAATATGAATCATTGGCTTGGAAAGTTAGAGATCAGCTCTTGGAAGAAGTACTCACTCTGGATGTTCGACCGTATAGATCTATCGTGTATAGATCGAGTATAGCAGTTTCATAATTTATATAATAAAGCTGTGTCACATTACATAAATTATTTAACTTCTAGTGTAATTCTACTGAAAGATGGTAAACAGTTCGTGTGGAAGCCATAGGAAGGGGCGACGTCTGCCTATGTTAACCTTTCATCTCGAAACTTCCATGGAACGACTGAGAGAAATCACAAACACCACTGAGAATTTCCAGTGCACCGGCAAACATAAGGGGGTACTGCCAGTAAACAAATCTGAGACGAAAATCTCTGCCTTACTGTTTTCGGCGTTGTGCACATAAACTAATAAAAAATTACCGGTGGTCGTACCTTACATTTTATACAGACTTTTCTGCTCTACGTGTTAAAATAAGACAATATTTTATTTTATTTTTAACTTATTTAACAACACTCTCAGTAACTACGTCATACAGCGTCGAAATATTGGAAATTAATGAATAATCATTTTCGGAGTGTGTTCAGAGAGGCGGTCTTGGCCTGTTTTAAGGTGCTATCCCACCACTTTCTGGAGATACTAAGGAAAATCAAGAAAATCTCCGTTAGAACAGTCTATGTCTCGGCCAGAATTCGAACCGAGCATGTTCCGAATAAAAGACAAAAGCTGTAGCGATTAATGAGCTGATATAAAAGGAGTTATACTGATTGTGTGTTTTATACACAACTCTATAATATTAGGAAACATAACAGTTTGCAAGAACATTTATGATATATATAATAATTTTATGTATGTGTATGATTACACCAGATTGGGCCCTTATTTTGATGTTAGCACCAATGAAGAGGCTAACAAAGAAGTGAGGTCTTAGAGGATCAACAGAGGGCGCCAATAATTTGTGAATTTTATAATGATTATGATGTGGAACAAGCATAGTTCTAGAGGAGTAAATTAACACACACAAAACTCGCAAGTGGAACAATATCCGAGATTCCGTGTGTTAAACTTCACTGAAGTCCATAGTCACTCGCCAAATTTGTAACGACCATTATTTCGAGACAGAAATAGTTCCCAAGCGTTACTTGAATGAAAATTTAAAACATTAATTGCTTCAGAAAGAACAAGGTACCATTTACTCTTATATATTTTCCGCTTATTAATTTTATGTTTACATTCTCGTACAAAAACATTATTTTGATCTATTTACAGAGTGAAAACGGTTTATGTAGTCATGTCTGTCCTTGTCCTTCGGTTTGCCTGTAACTACTATCGGGGCCTGCACTTTTGGACAGGCGTATTTATAATTTATATGGCAGAACTTCACTAAACGGCTTCGGTCAGTTTCAATGCTGATGTTTCTTACTGATAATTTTGTATAGCTTTTAGAGCTCCTCTTTTCACCAAAGTCACTTAGGATATCTCTTCCTTTTATCAATTTAGAACCCAGAATTTAAGACATACAATTAAAATATGCTTACTTTTATAATATTTCATGATTTAGAAGATATTCCTGAATATTTTCCTTCTTGATCATAAATAAACGAATGTGTCTAAATTATTAACTTCTTAAACTGGTTCCTACATCAATGGTGTCCAAACTCACCAAGTAATATGTAAATCAAATGAGAGCAACTTCAGACTAATATACAGTATTTTACAGCAGTAATTTAATCTCACACATTGAATTTATTAAGGTTTTCATCTAAAACAGAGACCTCTGCCTTTCAGTTTGGTATAATTTTGTACTTCGATTTATGGAACGACTTAGAATACGATTTTTTTCTCGAAACCAATTAATAAAAGCGAAACAATGAACCGAATTACATGAAGTTTTATTAAAATCAATATGTTAATAACAATATTCGTAAGTAAAATATATCCGGGGGAAGAGATTTCTATGTCATCACTAAAAAGCCTCAATTCTAAATGTATATAATATAAACTCTTCTTTTCGCCTCGCCCTTGACTTTGTATGATGAATTTTGGAGGAAAATTGAAATATTGTTTCTTCTCTAAATGTAACACTGTAAAATATAATTTGTATACCATTAATACATTTATATAAAATATATTGAACTCACCCTTCTTAGGACATGGATAATTCACGGCCGAAGACGGTTAGTATGATATAACAGTAGGAAGTGCGAAGAAATTCGATGGTTTCGTGATACCCGAGGGATGTTAAAAGCAGCAATCGGAGCAAAGTGTGAACGATGGACATTGGCACTCCGCTTATATGCAAGATGGAATAGCCAACCAGAGATCGATATTACACATGCGTAGTGGAGTAATCTCTTTGGCTGAAACACGAATCGTGCAGACATTAATACGGCACATAATGAAAGATATTTTGACTTCTTATTTCATTGCCTTCTCGGGACATTTTATTCTTTATGACTTTTCCGGTACACGGTCTACTGAATATCGAAACAGGATAGTCACCCTTTCGATCCTACTTGGGACATGTCCCACAAACCCCTCTGCCAAGATTATTGAGATTTTTATGTCCCGTAAGCGCATGGATTCAATAAATTCCAGACCTCTCCTTGCCGCCCCGAATCAAACGAGCTAATACAGCTGTATAAAGCTATCGCGTAACAGGCCGTGGAGGCCCGTAGGGTTGTGAGACGTCGAGGCTCCCACATTTCTAGATAATCGGCTCACAGATGGCGGTGAAGTTGTCAGCCTTACGCGCCGGCCCCCCTTTACCCCCCAGGAAGATTCCTGGTACTCATTTCTGTTAGAGTCTGAGTAAACCCAGGACCATAGTGGGGCTGGAAAGTTTAGATTAATTGAAAAATCAAATGACCTCATAGGGAATCGAACCCGCCACCTTCCGGCTTGTAGCATAGTGCCTCAACCAACTACGTTACCGCTTGCCACTCTACAGTTGTATAACTCTGGAAACCAATTTATTGGTTCTTTAGAGTATAAAAATTGTTTTATTGCAATGGCTGGATTTTCTAACATCAAGTTTAAAAGGATTAAAGGATTCTAATACCGCTGATTTCCACGTACTTTACAGTTCGTCATTCATTAATCTACTATTTCACTCTATGTAGTCTTGGCTATTGATAGCAGCGCTAAATAAACCATAACATATTATCCAGAAGACAGCTAAATTATCCTGACTCGGTTTAAATTTAGTCACCAATAGGGTCCAAGTCATATGACCGAAGTCTTGTAATGTTTCTTTATGAATGTTAAGAAAAACAAGATTCAACATTAATTAGGAGAAGGCCACGTGTGTAGATCTTTGTCATAGGAATTGTAGCCTGAGTTTGAGAGAGTCTAAGCGTACTCAGGAGTCTACAAAAATTTTAACAACTGATAATCTCGGATATCATTCAAGGTAAATATATCCCAGTAGCTTAGAAAACTGCAGTTCTTTAATTTTACAAGTAGAAATATACCATATCATCCAAAATTTCATTTTTAAAAGAAGTTATTAATAAAGTAACAAACATTGAAATTATTTTAGTTTTAAAGCAAATATACTAGTTTAAGTGGATATATAGATTCATATTTTCTTGACCTCGGCGCTAGGTGTAGGTGAGTGGTCAGCTTCACACCACGGCCGCTTTACCCCCAGGAGTTAGCCCCAGTACCCATTGTATAGGAGGTTGGGTGGACCCCAAAGTCGGTCTTGACGATTGGATGCACTCTCCCATACGTCCTCATGGCGTAAGTGCTTAATTAGTTAAGAACGGGGACAACTTTACCTTTCTTTACGATTTCAAGTAAAGCGAGATTTTTGTGTCGTAAATGAACAAAATATTTCAGGTAGAAGACAAACGTCCATATGTCCATTCACGCAACATCAGACTGTCTATTGATGAACAAATATTAACCATAAACTAAGTTTGATTTTAGATTTCACCGAAAATGAATAAATAATTAACTGTTTCAGGCTTGAAGTGAGGGAGAGAAAAAAAATACAATTAGTACTTTATCGATTTTGGGTTCAGACAGTGGTGATTAATGACGTTTAATCTGGTAGAAGTTCACTGACGTTTCGGAGGAACGTACTGCCTCCATTCTTAGGGAATAAAACCCGTGAAAAATACCAGCAAGCAGCCGAAAAGCAGAACTTCTATAGAACTGCATAGAGTTACATTCCAGAAGATTGTACGCTTCTGTTGGATCTTACCCTTGAGATGTGACGGCTATTAGACAACGGAAAATATCTGAAATAATAATAATATCGACAAAATATTTAACCAATACCATAAACAGGTTCAATAATTTATCTCAGTTATGCAGGATATTCTAATTATTCATAGCACGTCTGAAGCCATTGTTTATAATGTGCCTTATATATTATATGTAGAAAGGGAAGGGGGGGGAAACCGAGCACGCGGTAGCGTAGTTGGTTGAGGCACTATGCTACAAGCCGGAAGGTCGCGGGATCGAATCCCAATGAGGTGGATTTTTTCAATTGACCTAATCGTTCCAGCCGCATTATGGTCCTGGGGTTGACTCAGCCTCTAACAGAAATGAGTACCATGATAATACTTGGGATATTCTTGGGGGGTAAAGGGCGGCCGGCGAGTAAGGCTGACAACCTTACCGCCATATGTTAGCCGATTGTCTAAAAAATATGGGAACCTCAACATCTCACAACCCTATAGTCTCCAAGGCAAGTTACAGGGATACTTTTACCTTTAGAAAAGAAAAACTTAACCTTAACGGCCAATATTAATATTTCAAATACACTATATTCTGAAATTCTAAAACAATTTTTATTGAAGGTAAATATTAATTACATTAGTAAAAGGGCTTTAAGTTACATTGAATTAAAATGAGGTAGAATAGGTGAGTGGGTAATATTAAAATGAATCTTACAGAGATAGGATGGGTTGATATGGACTGGACTAATCCCCAGACTCTATAATAATACTGTACAGTACTTCTCCCCCAACTGATTCATAGACTTGCTTGATGTCTACGAATATCTGATGTACTGACTCATTGTGCTCCAATCTTTTCTCAAATATCTGACGAACAATAGCTGTAATCAGCAGTTGGTTACGTCGAAACCCACACCCATGATCCCCAATAATTTCGTGTACATATGGACTTAATCTCGAGAGAAGGATATTGGATAAAATTCTGCATGAAGTTGGTAGCTGGTATATTCCAAACTATAATTTTGTAGATAATTAAATCAAGGGAAACTAGATGGTTGACGCCTATAGCGCGAATGGGATAGAAATGTTGGCAGGAAAACCTTAAGAAAAGTTACCACTTTTGACAACCTAGGTGTTAAGAAATAAAACTGATCTTAAAGGACTGTATTAATCTGGCCCAGGGTGAGATCCAACGAAGAGCTGTTGTGACCACAGTAATAATTTTCGGGTTCAATAAATTACTAGGAATTTCTTGACTGTCTGAGCAACTACTAGCTTCTCAAATACAATGGACCCAGAGATGGGAAACACAGGGCTGTAGCACTTAAATATATACGTATTGTGTGGCATATGCATAGAGCTTAATTTATTTTCCATGGTTACAGGGTTCAAAATAAAGCAATGACTTCGCGTCTAATGGAAATGTCACGGTTAGAACAAGGTTACTCTTACAGCGTCAAGTCTCCACGTCATTAAGGGCTGGAGGGCTTCAGAAACTCATTAATTTTCTCTCTGACATTTCAGCTGTTATTTATCATGCTTCAATATATCTCACATAAAATGGAAAGGTATATAGAGAATTTTCAAATAAAACCAGTAAAATATTTTATAAGTTGTGAATTTTCAAATCTTGTCCTATATATACATAACTTAACAAAATCCATGGAGACGAGTCTCTCTTGAGAAGACAGTAGTTGTTCAGATGGATAAGAATTCCTCTTTTTTTTTTAACACAAAGGTTCATTACTGTGTTCACAGGAGCCTGGTATTAGACCTTATAGGATATGAGCCTGTATAATTTTGTATATAAATATTAGGCCCTTCAGTTACTTCCTTCCCTCTGTTATTAAACCTAAAATATTCAGCACCGTTAACGCAAGGGCCCGAAAGTGTACCCGATCTTGAATCAACTCAGTTAATTCCAGAACCCCCAAAATTAATTTGCTTAATGTTGTATTTAATATTATCTTCCTAGGCGCCCCAAATAGTGGCTGTTAAGAAGATTTGTGTTTCTCCTGTCGGAGCTGTATGTCCCGAATTTTTTTAATTTCCTTTACTTTACTCCCTTAGTAAGAAAATCCTCTTATGTAACGTCCTCATTTCTCCATTTAATTAACCTCTTGTATATACAAACACATACTTCCCTCAGCAAACCCAAGTATCGATTTATATTCACCCTTCAGAGTTTCAGTTGGCTTCATAACAATCCGGAACATCAGAGAATAATTTTTATGCTATTTAAAAATACTAAGTTCAAAAATCTTTACGTTTGGTGAAAGTAAATCTCTCGATACGTACGACATCTACACCAAATTCAATAAAAGAGAGACGGGTTAAACAACTAACGTGATGGAGCTGAACCTTTCTTGAAAAGCCGCCAGTCACTCAGCTACTCAAGAACTCCCCAACATTTATGGAACTCGAAAGATCATTACTATATTCACAAGAGCTCTCCACTGGTTGCTATCCTGAGCCAAATCAATCCAGTCCATACAACCACATTAGCCACCCACGTAGGTCTTGGTCTTCCTAGTCGTCTCTTTCCTTCTAACGTTCCTCTTCTCCCCCATCTCATCTTCCTTGACTTCATCATTTTAATTATATTTGGCTATTCTCTAACCTTCTGCCACTTCATCCCTCTTCGGTTCAAATATTGGCTCAGCACCCTCTTTTCATGACAGAGACCAAGTTTTACACCCATACAGAACCACAGACAACACTATAGTATCGCATATTCTAATTTTTTTTTTTCATTCTCCTCAAGATACCAACATAAAGCTTCATTTTCTTCTTTCATAGCGCCAAAACTGCTGTCACTTCCTTCAATATAACCAAGAATTTTACAGTCTTATTTCTTAATACCAAGCACAGCAATTACATGGATATATGCCATATCCCTTTATATATCATAGGCATGCCATACATTTGTTTTACATTTCTATAATTTTTTACATCTTCTACTGCCATTATTTTTAAGTTAATTACTAGATACGCTTGAAGATTTTTTATGTATTCTGTTCAGGCAATAAATGGACTAAATTAAAAAATAAAACATTTTTTTTGCTAGTTTGTCGGGACTAAGTCCCTTGTACTGC